AAGGTGTTCTACAAGGTGTTGTAGCTTTTCTCCCAACGCGTACATGTATATGCGTAATGACGCACAACGGTAGTTGCAAGGCCCTCGAACACCTTGTTTTTCGGAACAATAATATGGCGACATGTTTGTTGGCAACAGCAGTGCAAACCTCGTCCGACGTGAAAACGGGTGTTGGTGTGGCACACAGGGTGATGGGACCCCTTTTTATGGTCGCAACAGCAGCGCACGCCAGTTATCTGCCGGACAACCAGCATCTCGGATTGGCCCGTTTCAGCACGAAACGCACTTCCACTTCTTAACAGGGTTAGCATGAAAGGCACACTTTCTTCACACGGCGCATTAATATTGTTATCATCTTTCCCGTCTGCGAGTGTGTCACACTTTCGGACCCCCCTTTCGGTAAAAAAAACACACACACACACACACACACAGTCCAGTTCTGTGCCGAACAAGCAGCATCGGATTGGTCCTTTATGTATTGGATATGAAACGCGCTCTTCCACTTTATTTTACAGGGCGGACTATTTTGCCATCCTCCATCCGCTGCAAATCTCACTTTCGGACCATCGAGGACGAAAGTAAGACTGGCAGCGCATGTACGACGATAAAATAATCCGCCCTGTGAAATAAGTTAAAAAAAAAAAGAAGCACGCGTTACACTCACAGGATCTACCACGGGCCATTCCGAACCTGGTGGTTGCCCGCCAAAGAAGTAGCGTGCGCTGTTGCAACAAAAAAAAAATCGTCCATCACCCTACATACCATTTTTATTTTCGTTTTTCCGAGTGGTTTGTACCCTATTCTTGTTTCGTTTCCCCGCGGCGTCGCATGTGCCGGGTTTTCGAGACCACGGGCTCCCCATTTTTGTGGACTATAGAGCGAGAAACAACAAAACAACAATACCGCCGTGGTAGCATACGCCGCGTAGCCGTTTTTTCAAGGGAGGGTGTCTCGCGCTGCTGTTGCCAACGAACATCAAACGATCGTTATGTATGCATGTATGATGTGGGGAATCTGCCACGGACAAAAAAACAAGAAAACAAAGTGGGTGTGCGGGCCTGAAAAAACAAGAAAGCCAGTATACTACACAGCCGGTTTCCCTCCACTCACTCCAAAGACTCCAACATATATCCCGTTCGACTGCTGTGGTTATATCTCGAACGGGCTACATATTTAGTTTCTCTGTGTTTGTAATATATTTACTTCCTAATGAAACACACTACTATTTTACATGCTCGTATTTGTAGGGCGTTGGGAGAACACGTATATACCGCGCGAAAACATAACTTTTCCCGTCATCCCTTCCCGACAAGCAGCGTGTGTGGTGGGACTATGAAGAATTACTACAGTCTCAACGCGTTACACCACTTTTTTTTATCATGTCATGCACCCACTGGATCGATTTTCACACAGCTCCAACGAACACTCCACGACGAAGAGGACCTACAAGTACAAGTTTGCACACAATATGAAGTACAAGTTGAGCGATACAGCAGCATTAAGAAAAAATAAATACACACACTGAAAAACTACCCATTCGAGATATACCCACAGCAGTCGAACGGGATGTGGTGGAGTCTTTTCAGTGAGTGGAGGAAAACCGGCTGGGTACTGTACTGGACTTATTTCGAGTCTTTTAAAGTCTATACACTGATGATTTATATCAGTATGTAGTTTTCGGAAAGCTCTCGACGGGAGAAGTTTGGTTTTCGGAAAGCTCTCGACGGGAGAAGTTTCCGACGGCGTCATTTTCGGCTCCGCCACTCTATTCTTCTTTCTGCTCGAGGAGGAATCGGGCTTCGAAAAATCAGTCCAGGGGGTGTGGTACACAGCAGTACTCGTACCGCCGTAGGTTGCGTAAGATATCACACCCCCTGGACCCTGGACCGATTTTCGAAGCTCGATTTCTCGGCAAGAAAAGCAGCGACGGTGCCCAAAATGGCGGCGTCGGAACTGCCTCGCCAAGAGCTTTCCGAAATCATATCCTTTGACTCCGGCATCCTCTTCGTCGTCAAGTAATCGAGCTTTGCAATCGGTCCACGGGGTGTGATATCTTGTGCAACCTACGGGGTATCATACGATGATACGGACGTGTGCCCGCGTCCATATCTTGATGGAAAACTCGTAAAAAAAAATTTCAAACACACCGTCGGCCGGTTCTTGGCCAGTTGCACGTTGGCGTGGCACATGGTAAAACACGCTTGGGTGTGCCGTGGCGAAAAACCTGCCTGCAAAGCCCGGCCGCCGCCGCAGTTCGAGCCAAGCCCAAATAGCAAAGCATACGTGTGTTGTACCAAACGCACGCATTGCTAGACCTGTACCATACAGACTGGTGGCCAAGCATACGAACTTTTCGAACTGCCGGCCAAGTTGCCCGACTACATTTTACTGCTGTCAGTCAGTCATGGTTGCTTTTCATATCATTACAAAAATGTCCCCCTTTTGACCTTTGGCTCGTGCAGGAATGTTCCAGAGGAAGAAGGCCGACTCCTCACTACAATGCATAGGTGCCTGCTGTCGCCTCAAGCGCTGTGCGAGCATCCGCCAGGTTAGGATGTCGCACGCGGAGATAGACGGGTATATATATGCATACGGCGGAGGTCAAAAGAAGGGTGCCAAGAACGGCGCGCAGAAAGAGTCGAACATTCGGAGGTCAAAAACGCGAAAAAAAAAAAAACCCGTACACATCAAGGTGCCAGCAGACCATAAAAATATGAGATCAATTCAACAACTCTGGCTTCGTACATACAATATATGCTCGATACGAGAGAGCAGGTCGCTGAGCCAGCTAGAGCTTTGGGCGCACAAAAAGATAGACTTGGTGCCCTTGTGCGCTGAAACGAAGTGAAACCGGTTCGCTTCGTCAAAAAAAAGACAAATAACTTTCTGTACCCCGTCTCGCTGCCCTCTGTCGTCACACAGAAGAAACCACCGCGTGGGGGCTGGCTGTGTGTTATCATATTTTATAGCCCGTCTATCTCGATACTCCGCAGGAGATGCTAAGAGAGGGCCGTGGGAGGGCAGTGCATAGAGAGTACCCAAGCCTGCTGCTAATGCGTAGCCAACGAAAAAAGAAAGCGCCACTGAAAACTCACGTGATGGTTGTTGAAGTCGGCGCCCCCCCACAACAAGATAAATGCAAAGAGAGCGGAAGAGAGCCCTGGGTAAGAGAGCCTTGGGTAACTAAAAGGCGTATGTAGGCCCCACCCGGGCCAAGCACCCCCCCCCGACCATACGCAGAGGCGGAAGGGCGCGGCATGCTCCGTTTACTCTGGTAGTTGAATTTTCGAGCCACGTGTAGGAAGGGTACACAAGCAGTCGGTGTTTCAGGTCATCTCACCAGGTTTGCAACCCATCGGAGCAGTCCTTGGAGACGACTCCCTGCCGGAGCCGGAGGCACTTCTCCAGCTTCAGGGCCGAGCCGCTGTCGAGGTGGCACTGGTCGAACTTGGGCTCATCGGCGCACGCCGCGGCCAGCATCCTCTTTCCGTGGATTCGCCTCTCCCGCACCGAGAGCGAGATCGGAACGTCCTCCTCTGCGAGGATAAGGCCGCGGACGGCGTCGGTAACATCACCAGCGTGAGGGGTATTAGTAGAAGCTCCACGGAGGAAGCATCCTCTCGCCGCCGTCCCCAGGAGGGTCAGCGATAGAAGCCCGGACCGCATGATTTTTTTCTTCAGATACCCCCAGCAGCTTTTTTTTGCTCCCCCTCCCCGGTGCGCGTATAGCTTATAGCTGATGAGAAAGACCGCAGCGGCAAACAAGCAGCCAGCTTGCCCATTGCCATCTCCCCGAGGGAGGCTTCGAAGGGCACCCGCAGTCCGCAGTTCGATCGGGGGCTAGATGTGCCGTTTCATGTGCCGTTTGCTGCTACTGCTGTTCCGAGTTCCGAGAGGCTCATCAACAATACTGATTAATGATTGCTTACGTGCCTACATACATATTTACGCGGTGGTGGTGGAAGTGGTTGCTCAGGCGATTCAGAAAAACCCGGTTACGTGGTAGCCCATTAGAAGCATCATCGTGGCAGGATCATCGCCCCTTTTGGAAGCACGGTACACACGGGATGATGCCGTAATATTTGGGCGGTCCTCAACTGGTTTCTCCTTGTTTCCGTCGTTGGTGGAAGGTTCTCGCCAGCACGAAGGAAGCTAAGAGGAGAGCGAGGGCGAACCAAGAAACTTGCATGGGTGGACGATGTCACAGCTTCAGGACAATTTCCAGGCTTCCGGTGTTGTCGATGCTTCCAGCAGCAAGATTCCAGGGGTTGAAGGTGCGGGTGTCCTTTGAAATGTCATGTGGTCGAGCGTACGACGTGTTCGGGTCGTCAACGCACAAGTGCACGTGCTAAGCAGTCTAGACCAGGCTACTTCCTGGAAAGTTGCTCGATGCCATTGCCAATGACACTTCCTTGTTTTTATTGCATGCACCAGGACCGTGCCATGTAAACGGTGGTGGAATCCCTACAAGCAAATCCGCGGCATTTGAAAACAGTACCGATCTCGACAAAACTCCCTACAGTAGTCTAGCAGCAAGACATCTGCAGGAAGTCGTGGTACATAGCAGCACGTGACCTTTGCGCCCGAAATGGGACTTATTTCTGATTTTTTTTCGCGCGTTTTGAACACAGCAGTCTACTTTCTAATTAAGAGGGTACTGGTGGCAACAAAACACTCATGTCGAGATCACTTCCACACATCAGTTCGAATCGGGCATTCATACGTGCGCCTCGAAAACGAACGAACACAGAACTCGTGAAGTGCGTTTGTTTGTGGTCGTCGTTGGGCAATCCCGAACGTAGCGTGCTTGCTTACCAACTTATAACAGGAAATTTTCTGTTTCTAAAAATAATCATGTCCAGGTGTGCCGACACGTCGGCCTGTCCCACGGCGTTTTCTCAACATTGAATTTTGTGGTAACTTATGATGATGTGTGGGCAGATGGATTCAGGTCGGCAATACCGCGTGGTTACTGTCCTGCACCGGGTCACCGAGTAACACCAGGGAGTGATACAGGGCGATATGATATCATACCCCCAACTCAGCCTTCCGCTCAGAGCAAGACCGCTGCAACACACAATGTTTTGTGTAAACTACGAAGTACTCCGCACAACTATTCAGCAAGCACCATGTAGGTGGTATGCATCGTAAACGGAACAAGTCATCGAACTTATCCCCAGAGATTGTGATGAGTGGTCGGGGCCCCTACTGAAGTAGGTGTCGGCACAAGGGTCTACTGACTAGGTATCCTTATTTCTGCGTGCAGCGGGGTGCCGGTATGTGTTTTCTGCGGTGGCGCGGTGACTGTTGTCATCGTCAAGACACTGCTTCATTGGTGTTAACGTGCGCGTCAGAGCACGGGGGAATGGGTGGAAACGTTTGAGATGACTGAAGCAGAAAAAAACATTTTAAGCTAAGCTGATGTCGGACTCTGGACTTCCGCAGTATAGAAATATCTTTCGAAATACAGACCGTCACAACAGTAGCCCCCCGATCTTTACAGACGCCTGTCCCGTCTTTCCTTCGGCGACACCGCCATAGCGCTGCCTGCCGCGCCAAAGCTCAATAAAACGTTGGACGTTCAACCTGAAGCACAGGCCGATGCGCAATATCTCATCAATTCTGTTTTTGTGCATGTCTTTAACATCGTTTGCTGAAAAAAACTTTCAGTGGGGTCGCAGCAAGCGCCAGCTCCCACCCAAGGCGGTGGAAGCGTTAGAGGCATCAGCCTTCCGATGGGGATGGGAGGAGGCGGCGGTGGCGGCGGCGGCGCCGGAGCGGCGGCTTTCCTCACGGGAGGGGGGTTGCTGTCGGGGAAGAGCGTGATCTCGGTGCAGAGCAAGCGGCTGGCTGACGATGTCAACTACGTGTACGACCGGCAGATTCTGTACACGAACAAGATTCAGTTCCAACGGAGCCGCATCGAAGACCTGACGTTTCGAATAGCCAAGGCGGAGAAGGAGCTCGTGAGTTCTTCCTAGGTCCTTTCTTGGTTTTGGAATGAGAAGAAGATGTGACCCGTGTAGCCGTTCGATCGTACCTTTCTCGACGCGCGTTGGTCATCGTTCGGACACCGTAAGTGTACGGGAGTGTTGCTCCTGGTAAACTGGGGCCGTGTCGTGAAACATGTATGTATAGTTATATTCTGTGGTTTTCTTCCGTCATCAACTCCGCATGCAGCTCACCATTGCCCAGGTTGAAAAGGGCATGATCGGGAATCCCTTGAGAAGCTCAACACCCGCGGAGTACACAATATTTTTCGTCAGCTTTATCGCCGTCGCATATGTAGAGCGTCGGATATGTACAAGGCTTCCACGGGGAGGCCCGCAGAACTCCCCAACCTAACGTTTTCAATACCGTGTTAATACTCACGTACAATTGCCAAACTTCCAGCTGTTGTTTATGATGAAGCCTCCGGACGAGATGGGAGGCGGGCTTGAGCCACTATGACCAAAACCAAGCCCGCGTGTGCGCGTATGAACCACTTGCACGATAGAGAGGGAGAGGGAGAGGGAGAGAAAGGAAGAG